GACCCCCAGCCTCAGCCCTGCCTGCAGCTCACAGTCCCACTCTCAGCCCCGCCTGCATCTCAGACTCCCAGCCTCACCCCTGCCTGGATCTCCTATCTCTGGCCTCAGCCCTGCTGGGGTCTCAGACTCCCAGCCTCAGCCTTGCTTGGACCTCAGACTCCCAGCCTCAGCCCTGCCTAGATCTCAGACCCCCAGCCTTACCCTTGCCTGGATCTCACACCCCCAGCCTCAGCCCTGCCTGGACCTCAGACCCCCAGCCTCAGCCATGCCTGGATCTCAGACCCCCAGCCTCACCCCTGCCTGGACCTCAGACCCCCAGCCTCGGCCCTGCCTGGACCTCAGACCCCCAGCCTCGGCCCTGCCTGGATCTCAGACTCCCAGCCTCACCCCTTCCAGGACCTCAGACCCCCAGCCTCAGCCCTGCCTGGACCTCAGACCCCCATCCTCAGCCCTGCCTGGACCTCAGACGCCCAGCCTCGGCCCTGCCTGGGTCTCAGACCCTCACTCAGACCCCCAGCCTCGGCCCTGCCTGGGTCTCAGACCCCCAGCCTCGGCCCTGCCTGGACCTCAGACTCCCAGCCTCAGCCCTGCCTGGATCTCAGACCTCCAGCCTCAGACCCGCCTGGATCTCAGACCCCCAGCCTCTAGATCCGGGAGGGAATAAATGTCCATTGATGAAGCCACCCCGTCTGTGATAAAGTCATTGCAGCCCAAATGCCCAAACTTATTTTCCAGAATTTTTTATAAAGGTCACCTGGAAATTTAGATCACTATTAACTCTTCAGAGGATCCATTGTTGATGATCATTTCCCTAGATACTGAGCATTTCAGGAGCGCTCACATGACTACGTGCCTCATTTCACGCATCTCAGGACTGTGGGGGAAAGCCCAAAAAGTGACCAAAATCAGAAAAGAGATTTTTAAAGGAGGCCTTGCACCTTACCCCAAAACCTGTGAGTTGATCCCCCCGAGAATATCTAAATGTCCCTTAGATTCCACATAGATTTAAAGATGAGGAAATACTCCCTCTTCTCAGCCACACCTGACATTGAACTTGACGTATAAAACGACTACAACTTGGGGGTATCCGGCTGGCATGTTTAAAAGTAAGTAAATAAAAATAAAAAGACTACAATTCGGGAGCTGTACGGGCTATGGGGAAATCAATGTCGCACACAGACTGTCAGATGGTGGGGCCGAGAAATCACACTCCTTTGAAGCAAAATACGCCGATTTTCATAGCCCAGGATCAGCGTGTATTGCACTGATATCTAGGCTTCTAGAAGGTGTGATGGAAACAAGTTAGGGGGGAAAGAAGGAAGCAGAAAGAGGTCAGCACAGGTCACGTCTTTCCTTGTGCGTCTTAAATTTCCAAAAGTTCAAGGATCCTCTCTTGGGAACTCCCTGGACGTCGAGTCTTGAATCGCAAAGCCAGTCCAGAGCCCATAATATCTAGGCCGGTCCCCACTTCATCCCTGCAACCCATGAATCACAAGGTTGGTTGGAAACTGCCTGCCTTTGGAAGAAAGTCCGAGACATGAGAGAATGGTCTAGTAATATCAGAAAGGAGTTCAGGTCTCCCGTAGAAAATGTTTGTTTAGGGGCGTCTCGGTGAAGCCTCGGGCTCCTGATTTCGGCTCAGGTCATGACTTCATGGTTCCTGAGATCCAGCCCTGCGTCCGAGCCTGCTTGGGATTCTACCCCCTCCTCTCTCTGCCCCTCCCCTGCTCATGCTCTCTCTCAAAATAAGTAAGTAAACTTTAAAGGCGCCTGGGGGGCTCAGTCGGTTGAGCATCCGCCTTCGGCTCAGGTCATGATCTCACGGTGCGTGGGTTTGAGCCCCGTGTCGGGCTCTGTGCTCACAGCTCAGACCTGGATCTGCTTTGGATTCTGTGTCTCCCTCTCTCTCTGACCTTCCCCCAGTCACACACACTCTTTCTCTCAAAAACAAATAAATATATTTTTTAAGTGTTTAAATATTTTAAAATATGGGGGCGCCTGGGTGGCTTAGTCGGTTGAGCGTCCGACTTTCGCTTGGGTCATGATCTCGCGGTTCGTGGGTTCGAGCCCCGCGTCGGGCTCTGTGCTGACTGCCGGCTCAGAGCCTGGAGCCTATTTCAGTCTGTGTCTCCCTCTCTCTCTCTCTCTGACCCTCCCCTGCTCACACTGTCTCTCTCTCTCTCTCCTAGAAATAAATAAAACATTTAAAAAATATATATATATTTTTTAAAATATGTAAATATATGTAATCAACGTTCAACAATTAACGTAATATCATCTAAGCGACCTGAAGTGCTTTCCCGGAATCGCCGTGTTAGTTTATCCGAGAGACAGAACAGAATGGGCAGCACAGAGGCCCCCGTAGTCGCTTAGGCTACTTTTGGGTCCATGACTCGAAAGCCCGAGATGGAACGGAACCCTCCTGTGGGCACCTGCACCTCCCAAAAAGGAAAGTAAAAAGAGGAAAAAAAAAAAAAAAGAAAGAAAGAAATCAATCAATGGGTCTGTTCTCTTTGTGAAACGTGCAGGGCGGCCCGTTCCGGGCTTGGCGGACGGGGCTGTGGCGGCTCTGTGCTTGCACGCATCGTGCCCAAGTCGGGGTGCACACGAGATGTTCGGGGCCGCGGCCAACGGCTCCGTCTCTGCGTGCAGACAGGTGCGTCAGAGAAGGGCGGGACTCGGTCAGGTGCAGGGGTGTCTGGAAGGGAGACGCACAGGAAGGAGGCACTGCAGAGGAGGGGTGGCCCGAGAGACGCGGGGGACGGAAAGCACGGACGCCTTCTCCTGAGCAATCGGACAGCGGATGGCAGGGTGTGGGAAAGAGAGGGTGAGCAGAAGGGGGAGCCGGACGTGCATTTATGAGGGACGCTTTGGGGACACTAGCCACTGGGGACGTCTGGGGGACCTCAGGATTCCCTGAGGGTCTGCGGGTGCAAATGAAGGTCACCAGCTGTGAGGTGCACAATGCCTTGGAGGGAGGCAAGCTTTGCAAGGCAAGACCTACTGGAAAGCCAGGGTCAAAAATCAGGGGAGAGACCGAATGCTCTTCCCCTCTGCTTACAAGGAGCATGAGAGGAGAGAGATGGATTTGTTCAGTGCTGGGCATGCTCAACTGGACAGGTCTGTGGTGCATCGAAATGGAGATACACGATCGTCTGATGCTAGAAATCCAAGGAGCAGCCTGCATGGAGGAGGCTGAGCAGGTGACTGAAAACAATCTCCAGGAAGCTGGCAAAGGGGACCCTGAGGGGGGACGAGAAAAACAGTCTGGAAGGGTGTTCCGCTGCATCCAGGGGGACAGCAAGTCCCTGGGGCGGGCATCTATCAGCACAGCACCTTCCTCCCCCGACCCGTCCAGCCTGAGGGTCAGCCGTGACCTCAGTGCCCGGCACCTGGGGGGTCTCGGGGTGAGGACCCGCGGAGGGCGGTGGGGAGCGACTCACAGCTTGACCAGAAACGGGTGGCTGACTTCCTTGAGCACCGACTTCTCATTGTGCACATGCTGCTCTTGCTTCAGCCGGATGACGTCCGGTATGCTCATCACCTTCAGGGCGAAGAAGTGCTTGGCCGTCTTCTCCTTGACCAGCTGCACGCGCCCGAACGTCCCCGTGCCTGGAGAGGGGAGACAGCGCACAAGGCCGCGTCAAGACCTTTACGAGTGCCCAGCAGCTCCGCCAGCTCAGGGCCCGAGTATATGGCGGGAGGAGGGGAGACAACTGAGGAGAATCTGCCTTCTGGAAGTTTCAACGGAGGGCACGTATGAGGTGCACACGATGACCTGCCTCTGAAATGTTCTGTAATTAGTGGGATGGCGCGGGCGGGGGCGGGGGGGATTAGGGAGCCATCATTTGTGCAGATGAGTCACCCCAGAGATCTCTCTCTCTCACACACACACACACACACACACACAAGCACAGGCAGAAAGCAGAGCTACGGTAAAGGCGTTTCTTCACTGTCTTTTTTCCTCTTCAAGACTTTCTAAAGACAAAGGTATCAGGCCCATCAAAAGGCTCTTCCTTTTTTTTTTTTTTAACATTTTATTTATTTCTAGGAGAGAGAGAGAGACAGCGTGAGCAGGGGAGGCTCAGAGAGAGAGGGAGTCACAGACTGAAACAGGCTCCAGGCTCCGAGCTGGCAGTCAGCACAGAGCCCGACGCGGGGCTCGAACCCACGAACCGCGAGATCATGACCCAAGCGAAAGTCGGACGCTTCACCGACTAAGCCAAAAGGCTCTTCCACATGCTAATGCCTACGAAACACGCTGAGTCTTTAAGCTAAAATTTGCTGAGGATCGGAAGCTGGGACAGACACCAAAAAGGTATGGGATCATATACCTATTCAGGTAGCGTGTAAAGGAATAGAAGCTGAGAACGGGGTGAGATTTCAAAATTGCAACCACTAGTAACACGCAAGGAAATCAAACCTTCTTTTGTACCCTGGCGGGGCCTTCCCAGCCCAAATGCATCCTCCACCGCCCCTTCTAGGTCTTTCTATTCCTGGGAGCCTCAGTGTGGGGCATGGAGTCCCACCTTGGACCCCACACCCAGGCTGGCAACCACTTAATGCAAATACGGGATCAAAGATCCAAGGGAATTTTACAGACAGGCAGAGAAGACCTAAAGTAGGGAGGGAAAAATGGAAATCTGGACGCGTGAGCCTCTGGGTACTTGGCGTTCAGTGAGCTTATCAATGGCGGCTGTGTTTTCCATCAATGTCTGTCTAGGCAATAATAATGCAGAGATCGTCCGGGGGAAGAAGGTCAAGAGTCAGGGCTCTCTCTGGTTTGAAAAATGGCTTTAATGTAGTAAAAGTGATAAAGGAATTCAAGGCGGGCTGAGAAGAAAAGGAATCTCCCCCCCAACATAACCACACAGACACAGACTTCCTTTTTCCTCATACAGAGTTTGGAATTGCACATGGTGACATGGCAAACAGAACAAAGTCCCAGTTAAGCAAAACACTTGGTTTTAGCATTTTCTACACATCAGAATTGCCGAGCTGTGAAATAAATCTCCTCGCCTCCCGGGGCGGGAGGGTTGTGGGGGACGGACAAGGTACAATGAGCAACCTTGGCTTTTAGGCGCAGTTTCCGATCATGAATATTTGACTGTGTGAGAAACAGAAGGCGATCAACAAAAACCAAGAAAAGAAAGTGCCGTGTAAGAAGAAGGAAACGATGAGGGATATTCCATTTTGAAAGCAGATTTACTCATCAGAAGAATCTGGAAGCAAACACAGAAGCATAAGGTTAAGGCAGGAGCGTGTTGGTGAAATTCTGCGGCATCAAGTCAAAAGCAAGAAGCGTGTGGGGCGAAAGGCTGTATGGAGAGTGAACCGGCAAAGTTTACGTGTTTTTAGGAGGATACCGATGTTTCCATTGGGTAAGGTGCACACGATCTGGGGCAAGGTTTGCCATTTATGTGATCCGTGAACTCGGGCAAACACATTTAATCCTTTTTGGCTTCTGTTGTTCATCTCCCCCAGAGGACACGTAGTCTGGGGTGGAACATAAGAGTCTGGCCACACCATTGGGTAGATTCCCATCACGGAAAGAAGGCCGCGTGCCTTGACCCTTCTTCCCCTCTGGTACCCTTCTTTCTGATCATCCTTCTCCACTGCCCCGAGAAGAACCCTGCTCTTGAACTTGAACTCCATTTACTAGATGACATTTTGGCTTCTCAGCCCTTGAGTTGGAACTGCACGTGGACGTCGTCTGTGTCTATGTACCTACGTGAAACACATCTGCTGGGACCCAGGTTTTTCTACGTCGCTGCCGGCCACGTCTCTCCAGCTCTCTCTGGACAGAGTCAGCTGTAAACACACAGAACTCAGGACGGGGGACTTCAGCACGACAGCCAAAGCCCACGCTACCCTGCTGGATGTGGGCGGTTCCCGGACACCACCATCAGATTTCAGGGACCACACAGGTAAACAGTCTTGTTCAAGGTGAACAAAACCAGCACACTGCAATCTTTAGGTTGACGAGCATCAAAGCACAGAACACAACGACAACATGAGGGGTGTTGGCTGTAAGTCAGCAAGGTGGTGGGAAGAAATGGGCAAACAGAGCTTTTCCAATTTGGTGCCAGGAGGCTCACCAACACATACCGCTAGCTCTCAGCATCTCCCTGAAGGAAGTATAAATGTTTAGGGGCGCCTGGCTGGCTCCCAGTAGGTTGAGCATCTGACTCAAGCTCAGGTCATGATCTCACAATTGTCAGGTTCGAGCCCCACATTGGGCTCGGTGCTGATATAGCTCAGAGCCTGGAGCCTGCTTCAGATTCTGTGTCTCCCTCTCTCTGCCCTCCCCTGCTCATGCTCTGTCTCTCTCTCGAAAATAATAAACGTTAAAAAAAAAAAATTTAAAGAACGTATAAAAGTCCATTTTTTAGCTTTGTTGTACATAAGGATGGCCATTGGACCCACCTCTTCCCCATTAGACACACAATGGAATATTATTCAGCCATAAAAAAGAGAAAGTTCTTGCCGTTCACTACATAATGAGGGCATTATGCTCTGAGAAACACGTCACACAAAGGCAAATAGGGTATGATCTCACTTATGTGTGGAATCTAAAAAAACAAAGACAAACAACAACTCCTAGAAGAAGAGTTCAGATTTGTGTTAACCAGACACAAGAGTATAAAAGTAGTGGAATTGGATAAAGATGGTGCAAAGGTACAAATTTCCAGCTATAAGATGACAAAGTCCTGGGGATGCCCAACTGTACAACGTGACGACCACAGTTAACACAGTCATTCGGTATATTTGAAAGTTCCTAAGAGAGTAAACCCCAGAAGCTCTCGTAACAAGAAAAAAAATTTTTGTTAACTACGTAGGAAGATGGATGGTAACTGGTGAGTGGTAATTATTTCAAAATATATGTATTCCTCAAGTCCTAACGCTGTACACCTTAAACGAATGCAGTGCTGTGAATAATATCTCAATAAAACTGAAATAAACTCTAACCCAACAGGGTTAAAATAACACAACACATACAGAGCACAGGACTCAGATTTTCATTAACAGGTGATTAAATGCATTGCTCTTGAAAAACTTTCATAATACCAAAAACGACAGTCCTCGAAGGAATTCAGACTCTGTCCTGATCAATGTTTCTAAAATATATGTGTAGGGGCGCCTGGGTGGCTCAGTCAGTTAAGCATCCGACTTCGGCTCAGATCAGGCTCTATGTTGACAGCTCAGATTCTGTAACTCCCTCTCTCCCTGACCATCCCCTGCTCACTCTCTCTCTCAGAAATAAATAAAAACATTAAAAAAATTTTAAATACATACATAAATGTATGTTGTGGAAAAGAACACAGAAAAGGTAATTATAGGTCCCAAGAGGAACTAACAAAGCCACAGGCCAGCCCACACAGGTAACAGGGAAACAGTACCAGTTGCAACTGGACAGAAGTATTCACATTTAAACAAATAATTGCATGAAGGTGTTTCCTTTTCAACAAAGACAAAGATGGACATGGATACTGGGTTTGATTTCAATGTGTCTGTTGTGTCTATACGTGGGCCTCCCGCCTCCTCCCCAAAGGCACACCCAAAATGTAAAATCTCACTTCATGTATTTATTTAATCTGGGTATGAGACTAGGGCTTTATTCTGTGCCGTGGAATAGACTCTGACTGGGTAACACGGACACTGTGTTCCCTGAGCCCAAGGCAACAGGAGTCACAAAAGGAGTTAAAGATGGACAGATGCACAGTAAGTGATCTAGGGGTAGATGATGGATGGATGGATGGATGGATGGATAGGTGGGTGGGTGGATGGATGGATGGATAGACAAATTCGATGCAGAGATCGGTGGATAGATAGGATGCAGAGATGGATGGATGCACAGATTGATAGATGCATAATAGATACATACATACATAGACAGGATGCATAGACTGATGGATGGATGGATAGATAGGCAGATAGAGACAGACAGATAGACAGATATGGATGATAGGTAGAAAGACAGATAGATAGATAGATAGATAGATAGATAGATAGATAAGCAGGCAGATTGAGAGACAGACAGACAGATAGATATGGATGATAGATAGATAGGCAGGCAGATAGATAGATAGATAGATAGATAGATAGATAGATAGATAGATAGAATGGATGGATAGATAGACAGATAAACAGACAGATAGATACATAGATGTGACGGATGGATGGATAGATAGATGTAAACAGACCAAAGATGACACATAGATGATTAGACAGATACATGAGTGAAGTAATAAGACAGGTAAGATAGATATATGATGGATGGATGGGGCGGTTGAATGGATAGACAGAAAGATAATGGATAGCTAGTACATAAATAAATAGACAAAGACCTAGATCGTAAATAGATTATTGATACATACATACATAGAGAAATAAATGAGATAGATAAGAGAGATGGATGGACTGATGGATACAGAAAGATAGATAGAAAGACTGATAGAGACTAATTAACTTTAGATATTAATTTACTTTATAAGTGTATTTCCCAAACAGAAAATAAAATTTTGTCAAACCCCACCTGGCCATAACCCATAATTTCCGACTTAATGGACAAGCAGCCCACACAACGTTGGGACAGCCCAACGCCTGCAGAA